TCTCCTAACAATTCTATCATTTATTGTAGGGAGACGATCAGGGTGAGTCCAGAGGCATCAGGGGAGAAGAATTCGCCAGAGACACAGAGGAAAACAGAATAGGTAGAATACTTGACATGCATTACTAAGAGAAGCAGTAGGCCAGACGGGAGAAGTCTGCTAGTTATCTGTTAGGATGTCTGGTCTCAGGCACAGGCCTTTGACACAGAAACACGTCCGGCATTTGCTTCTGCATTCTTGGAGCTGGGTTGGTTCTTCTGGTCCTGGTGGTTGGTTTTATGGACTTGTCCCCAAGGCAGCCTTATCTATTCAGCCTTCCAAACCTGCCTGCTGGGTCAGGAGTGGGACTTAGTTTTTAACCTTACTCTAATTTTACCCCGACACCATTCATGGAGCTAAAATATGTTGTTTTAACCCTCACTGCAGTTTAGTTCAGGGCATGCTTCCTATGACATGGAATACTGCTGCTATTCCTCTTCCTATTGCCCCATCTCTTCTTCTGAGCTCAGACATGATCCGGCATGTTCAGGGAGGTATGGCTATAGACTTGACCTCTTTTAATGTTCAACAGTTTGACTATGCTCTTCTTAAAGTAAAACACCCATGATTATACAGTGCTACTGTAACAGATTCCGAAGGGTCTTTGTATGGTTTTGATCAATAAATCCCCCACAAATGTTGAAAGACCCTACAGAATTCCCACAAGGAATATTTATTGTGGATCACACAACTGTAGAAGTACAGAAAGTGCCCTGAGCCACACTCGAGAGGTGAGAGCAGTGGAAGTTTTATGGGGTTGGTTACCGGGTTACAGCAGCAGAAAGCAGCAGGATAGAGATTTAGGCTGGGACATGCACAGACAGGTCCTGTCCTTCTTCATATGTCATATGTAAATGAATCCTAGGTTACTTCTCTAAATGAATCCTCTAAATGAATCTCTAAATGAATCCTAGGTTACTTCTAGATCAGTTCTTCTGCTATCTGCATCTGCCCAGCCATCAGCTTCCAGCCTTCCAGAAGGCAGGCAGCCTCAAGACAGTGGAGGGTCTGTTTCCACTGCTATTGGACTGAGTTTCTGTTAACTCAGGGGCTCAATAACAGGAAAGTTAGGCAAGCAAGGTGTAGGTCCAGGGTCCTGTATGCTACATCTGACATGCACAAAACAAGCATCCAAAGTGTGGTCTGTAGACCTGTGAGTCCCCCGAAACCTTTCCCGGGATCAGCAAGATCAATGCCATTTTTATAATACTAAAAGATAGTTGTATCTTTTATTTTCACTGTTGTGCAATACTGTATTATCAGTCTTTGCCTTCTGTACCCCATGCATTTACAGGGAGATAAAGAGTAGATAAATTAGATACAAGTTTCATTTAAGTAGACCCTTGATAAAGAGCTGAACTCTATTAATTTTTAAATAACCTGTACAAAGAAATGGAAGGTACACTGCCTTGGGTGTCTGGAGGACAAGTGCTCATGGGATAGAATCATGAGCTGAGTAGGTCATTTTTATCATGCAATATCATTTTCACTTGAAAAAGCAGCTGAACATTACTAATATTCAGATATGGGATTTTGGAAGACATTTTGCTTTATCGAAAAGTGAATGAATTTGTTCCTTCCTGGTGGCACAGGGGTTAAAGTCTCAGTGCTATCAAGCTGTCACCAGCCACTTGGACATGAATTCTTTCCCCAGCTAGGGAGCTACCCACATGGCATAGCAGGCCTCTCCTGTCTCGCCCTCTGCTCCCCTCAGCAGTGTATTTCAGTAGATCTGCCTGTTCTGCTCCCCACTCTGTCTCTGATGAATCCTCTCACCACCCCCCCAACCCCTGCACCTCTGGCCTACACCCCAGCTCTTGTATGCATAAATAAATAAAATAAATCTTAAAAAAAAGAGATTTACAAAAATGGAGAGGAGTCATCACAGATAGAATGGAGAGCAGAGCAGGCAGAATGACTGAAATACACTGCTGAAGGGAGCAGTGGGCGAGACTAGAGAGGTCTGCTGTGCTATATGGGTCAGCTCCTTGGCTGGGGATCGAACTCAGAGGCAGTGGCTGTGAATAGCTTCATATTGCTGAGACTTTACCCCTTGCGCCCCCCAGGGAGGCCTCAGTCACTTTTATTTCTAATGTGATATTGGTAGATACATATATAACCCACATAAACAAGTTTTTTGAAGTCCTCAATAATTTTTAAGAGTGTAGACAGGAACTTTGCACTGAAAAGTCCAAGAACCATTTATACAGAAAATTATAAAGGTATAATCCTTGTCCTGGATACTTGGTCTCTCAGACATAAGAACCCTTGTTTATTGGTGTGGGAGGGAGAAGATCAGAAACAGCATACTCCAAATTCATGTTGACTCAGGTTAAGCTAGTAATTGGCTCTGCTGTTTTTACAGTTGAAAACATAGGTATAGGATGGATAAGGTATAATGTGGGAACCGGAAACATTTGTCATCCTCTGATCCAAACATCTCATGCTTAAAATAGAAATCTAAAATTTAAATTAATTACTTAATGTTATTCAATTATTTGGTGCCAGAGTTTATTCATGAAATTAGAACTTGATTTTTCTAATTTGTTGCTATGGATCAGTGCTAGGTGACTGGTGCTCATAACTTAGATCTGGGGCTCAGAAAGAATTTGGGTTAAATGTAAAGGTTTGGGGTGTATCCATGAGTACATAGATTCAATTTATGAGAGTCAGGGAGGGGACAGTAGATGGTTTAGAAGTCAAATAAGAGAGCATAGAAATAAAATACCATGAGAAGGATACTAATGTTTTTTGAGTAGCCACAAAAGTTATATTAGGAACCATGGGTTATATTAGGAAGTTCCAGCTAAGTTTAAGGTGGAGGCTTCAGGCTCATCCATTGCTGTGTAAAACCTTACCATCAAAGCTGTGGGAAGCAGGTATTTTTTCCACTTACCTATTAGGAGACAAAAGTCTAGAAATGTGAAACACTTGCAGTGTCACATCAGCAGCAAAGGTGGGGTTTGAATTTAAGGTACTTTTTCTGCATCCCCTCCCAAAGAAAATCTCCTCTGGACATGTAAATGGATTTAATTAATTGTGCTGTCTCTACCCTATTCTCCTGGGTGGGGAGTGACAGGAACCCCTTGCTGTGTACTTAGCTTTCATATTCATCCATAGTCATGGTTTTAGGCCATGACTTACAAGACAAGGGGAGAGAATAACAAATGTGTTTCTGCTTAATCAAGTTTTACTCAATGCTCTCATGGCTTGAACTATTAACACAGGATCTGTTAAATGCTACTGCGCTATACTCAGCAATCCTGTGCTACCTAGAAAATTCAGGGAGTTTCGTGCTAAGGATAAGTATTCCAGAGCTGTGGGGCCCCACAGACACTATCATTTCCATCTTATCCCTCAGTAAATTTAATCCATATTGTATATCAGAGCACATAAGTTAGGTTCCATATTTAAAATTACAATTTTGCATTTAGGACTACCCTAACACTCACGATGCAGGAGTGTGATTAAGTAGGATGAATTTGTACTCTGAAACCCACACCAGTTCCTCAACAGCAGAGCCACCTAACGCAGAGTTCAAACAAAGGCTGAAGCCTGGAAGGTTTGCGAGGGAAGCTGGTAAGCCGGCTTCCCCAGAGCGGCATGAAGTTATCAGGTCAAGGTAATGCTTCCCAGGGGTGTGACCGTCCGTTGTGAGCTCAGGGAAGGGCGGCCAGAAACCCCAGCAGGCTGGCCCCTGGAGGCCGACTACCTGGTATAGCAATAAAATGCTCGGCCTGGTCACACCCCCGACACTACACGCTGTGAGGAGTTGTAAGCTTCTCTCCTCCTTGACTCGATTTTTCTGTTTTGACATGTTCATGATAGTCCCAAATAAGTGATAAGGAACTAGAACCCAGTTCCAAAGTCTAGTCGAATTTGAAAGAAATCCACACCTCAGAAAAACCTCGAAAGGAAAAAAAAAAAAAGAAAAGAAAAGAAAAAGAAAGCTTTCTGATCCTATGATAATTTCAGGGAATCCCCAAAGGCCAGGTTAGTGCAGTTGTAAAAGCTCATTTTTTCCTAAACAGTGCCACCTACCGTCCCTTCTGGACGGAACCAGCGGGAGCCTGGCCGGCCCAGACCACAGCGCACAAAGCAGGGGAAAGGCATCGCGCCCAGGAACTACTCCCGGCCGTGGGGCATGGACAGAAAGACGGGGAAAGGTCGTTTCGAAGCAAAATAAGTAAAAAGAAAGCACAATAATAAGCATTTTGACTTACAATTTTCGCGAGAGGCTCGCAAGAAGCCAAGACCATTAAACCACCCCCTCTCGAAATAACTATATTTTAAGCGCGCTATTTTCGAGTCCTCCGGAGGACGATATTCCTTTTATGATATTTCATTTAAAATGCACGCTGTTTGCGTATTCTTCCATGCGGGTAAAGGAAAAAAAAAATCCTATTTTCCTTTTTTTTCCTTTTTTCGGCCCACCCAAGGCGGGCTCGTGTGTACGGGAGGCTTGGGCACTAGACACCAGCTCAGAAACTTTGGAGCAGGCGGGAAGAAAGGGTTAAAAAGACCAGCTGCGGACCTCGGCGAGGGGCAGCCAGCCTTCAGGGGGTCCAGGTGTGTGTATATATATGCACACACACACATGCGCGCGCGCGCGCGCGCGCGCACACCTCTCCAAACTCTCCCCCCCAGGTCGGTTCTGGGCACCCTCGGCCTTAAAACACTTAAACACTTCGGGGAGTCGATGGCGAAGAGGGCATCCTTTACTCGGGGGGGAGCTCAGGATGCCCACCGAGCGAGGTCTCCCGGCTGCACCCCTGCAGGGGAGCGGGGAGCCAGGTGGTCACCAGCCAGTGCGCGCGGCTGCGCGCACACAAGTTAATTGAATTCATTGGCGTTCTGAAGCGGCGCCCAGCTCAGAGAAGGCTTTGAATGGCCAATTTCTCTCTCGCTCGCTCCCTCCCCGCCTCCCGCCCGCCCGCGTTCCCCAGTCCGCACCTCCCTTCTCCACCCCCCTCACCCAACTCCCTCCTCCGCCCTATTAAAACACCCACCGGCTCACTTGTTAAGACCCCCTGAAGTTGGAGCAGGCAGAAAGGCAACGCAGCGAGGACCGAGAAGTCGCGACGTCTGGAAAGAATTACCCGCGGCTGGCTCCTGGCAGCCCAGTGAACCAGGGACTCGAACCAGCCCAGCCAAAGACTTTCCCCAATTCTGCGCGTCCTGGCTTCTGCTGAACGGTCACCCCGCTTTTTGTGACACGAGAAAAAGGAGAGAGCGCGCGCCATCCGGGGAGGGGGACCGGAACAAAAATATATATGCATCTATTGTAATATTAATAAAGCTAATTTATTTTGAAAGCACAGACAAAATTTTCTTTTAAGAATCAGAAGACAGAAGTCCACGGAAGATTAAAAAGAGCAGTCCCCTTGCCTCTGAAGAGGGCGAGAAGCAAGCATTGAAGACTCCCCCGTCCTTTTTTAAATGTTGTTTTTAAATTTTTTATTTTTTTTGGCCGGTCGTCTCAAATTCATCTGATCTCTTATTACCTCAAGTTTGGAAACTGCCCGCCACCGACCCTCCGGGACCACACAGACAGGCCGAGGACAACTTTATGAGCAAGAGCCGGACAAGGTACGTGACACCGCGCGGGGGTGGACGTGGAGGGTCCTCGAAGGCGCAGGGCACGGGGCGAAGGGACCTCAGCCAGTTTTCGACAGAAAAGTTTGCGGTCTGACAATTTCCACCCGACGGAAAGTCTGGGAATATTTTAGGGAACTGTCAGGCTTCGCCACCTACCCGGGTCTTTCCCCAGCTCTGCGCTCGCCAGAAACCCGCTGCCCGGCCGCGAGCACAGGACGCATCCGCCTGGCATGGACTGCGCGCCCCGGGGGTACTTTTCCACCCCGCATCTCGGGGAGCCCCAGAGGGCTCCCGAGTTAGGGCACAAGAATTTCCACTGTGTAAGGAAAATACACTCCGCGTGGCCACCCCGTCTCTCCTCTCCTCCGCCCTCACATTCCAGGTGGGGAGGAGCCTCCACTACGTTTTTCTTCTGGGTGGAAACCCCGCCACTTACTCGGAATGCAAAGGGTTAAACCGATCCCGGCTGCGGACCCCGGAGAAGGAGGGTCCTCCGCCACCTTCTCGCAGCTACCGGCCTCCGAGGGCCACTCCCCCTCTCTCCCAGGTTTCCCCTCCGTTTCACTCCCTGCACCCCATTAAAGCGTCTGGCTGGGTTGGCCCGGCTGAGCCGGGCTCGGGGCGCCTCCCACCAGCCCGGGGCCGAGGATGCCGCAGCGACGCTCGGGGACCCCGGGGAGGAGCGCGCATCCCAGCTCCGCGCCCGGCTCCCCGCTGCTCCCCGGGCAGGGCGCGCGCGCCGGGCCCCGCGCTGCGCGCTGGCAGCTGCCGCGTCCCGGGAGCCAGTTCCGACGTGGCACCGAGCTCGCTGGCGCTTCTTTCTGCAGCTGCGGCGTGGGGCACTGCCGGGGGGTGGTGGTGATGGGTACTGGGGGGCCGATCCGAGCTTCCAGGCGGGGAGGGGGCCCGGGGGACGCCCCCGAGCCCGGGCGACGGTGGGAGGCTGAGATGGGTAACACCTAGGGCGGGATTCGTCACGCCAGTTCCCGCCCTGCAAGAACCAGGGCTCCGAAAGCGTCGCGGGGACCTGGAGGGCGGGTCTGAAAGGAGGGTCTGTGTGCGCGCGGGCGAGGGGAGGCAGGAGACGCTGGTTCCTCTAAGGAAACGCCTCCGAGGGGAAGCGGCTCTGAAAGGATAATTAAGGCTGGAAAGAGGGGCTGGGAGTGGAGAGGCCGTGCCTAGGAGGAGGGTTTACAAGACCTGGGTCCTATTACACAGCCTGCGGTGCCAGCTCTCCCCAGTGCTGCTCCCTCCATCCCCCCAAACGCCCGCGCCGAGCGCTTGGACCGTGCGCCCCGCGCGCCTCCGGGGCCGGCCGGCTGCTCCAGCTGCGCTCCCCGAGGTGCCTGCGGGAGCCCTGTCGGCCCCGCCCTGCTCGGTTCTCCACCCCAGGGAACCGTTGTTGGCGGGCGTCTCCCGGAACAGCTGCCCAGAAATGCTGCACAACCCAACCCACGTGGCTGGGATTGCCTTTGACGTCACACCCGAGGGAGGTGTGACGTAATAGATCGGGAAGCCCTGACTGGCGCTACGGAAGGGCTTTCCCCGAATTGGAGGCCTGAGTATACCTTAGACTTTCAGCTCTGTGGCAGAGTAAAGCTAAGGGAGTGGATGGTTGGTCTCTGCTGACAAGTGAAACGATTGTGCAGAGTCCTTTGTAGATTTTAAATTTGCCTCCCCCCATCACCTCATCAGGCCAGTTTTCATTGCTGCTGTGGCTCATCATGTAATTTGAGAAGTCTATGATTCTTTTTTTGTTACTTTAACAAAAAAATTAAGTATCAATACGTTCAAACATGCCAATGATGTTTTAAAATTAAAATGTGTGTTCCTGTGGAAATAACTGGAACATGTTTATGCCTATCGAACTATTTGTAGACAAAATGTTTCATTTTACAGACTGGGGTTGAAAAGAATGCTTAAATCCTAAGCGTTTCATTCCAATCATTATATTAGTTTTCACTGCATTTTCTGAGAGGCTTAATGAGATTAGTTATACAGTCGAGGTACTATTTTATGAATACCCATTACACCGGGAGACGGTTTTCATAGTATTTTGACTATACTTTCACATTTTCAATGAAGAAATTTATCTAATTAAGTGCCTATTGCATTATGTATGCATTTGCATTTTTGGCACAAAATTCACAATTCTAGGTAGCCATTTCTGGCTTCTACCATTGTAATTAAGATCTCACCATTCTTTTTCTAATTACATATTATCTGAGATGAGTGAGAAGGAAAACACATTGCAGATGTATTGACAAGCTTGCATTATCTAGAACTGAAACATTCCTTTATCAGAGAAAGTTATGCAGCTTATAAAAATTCAAGGTTTTAAGTCATTAAATGACATCACATTTGAATGTGACTTTCTATAGAGCAATGATGATATTTAGCAAGCTACTTTCCTGAAAAACAGGAATTGTGCAAGAAATGAAAAAAAAAACTGTTACTAGAAAGTAAGTCAGGTAGAACTGATTTTTTTTTGGGGGGGGGCAGGTTCTATAGGATATAGCCCCATAATATTTAAATCCTTTTTTTTTTAACACATAGTTTCCTTACCAGCTAAACTTTCTTTTAAAATATTTTTCTTGAAATTCTAAGTACATAGCTTTTCCAGATCCATTTATTTTCTATTATCAGCACTGTGGGAAAACCCTTAGCTATAGATCCATGTGGAGAGTCCCTTTGGCAAAGTTATATACACAGTTAGATTTGTAATCTAAGAACATGTAGTTTGTTACATTATCAACTTCCTGGCTTTTGACTAGATTGGAGTGATGAGTTAACGTAATTGGAGAATGGAGCTGTCCTTTTACATCCATGCACTCACAGGTTGTAGCACTAAGTGACCACAAGGACAGTTAGCAACAGCTGGTATGACAGCTGAATGGGGAGAGCAGTATCATCTAAAAGATGATACTGCTAGTTGGGTCGAAATAAATATAACTAGGTCGCAATTAATATTTTACTATTTAAATAACAAAATATTTATGAATGGATACCTCTTACATGCATATATCTATACTAAAGATTATTTAAAAAATGAATAAGATTCAGTTCACATCTTATTGAAATTCATCACATGAAAACTACACTTAGAAACATCTTTAAGTAACCACAGTATAAGGCAACATATGATCCAGCCCATAAGAAAAGTATAATAATAGCTATTGTTTTTCACATAGCTGGTATGTCTCTGGCTCTGAGTTAGACCCTTTACATATATCTAACCTTTCCCTCCTATTTCTCCCTCCCCACTGCAAAGAAAACTTTATAAAGGAAACTTGCTGCAGAAAGATTAAGCAATTCAATCAGAGCCACAGTGTGAGTAATAAGGAATGGGAAGGAATTTAATCCAAGAATTATAGACCATAATGCCCTTGAACCAGACTATGCTACAATTGGATTAGTCAAGTTTTATAGGAGCACAAACTGGGAAGAAATCATGTCCAATTGACAGAAAGATCATGGGGAGAATGGGCATTTGTGACACCTACGACTGCATAGGATTTTCCCTTACAGTGCCCAAGAGTCGACGGAGACACATGCAGACGTGCGATTCCATGCCAACAATTTTTGTAATTTTCCCCTTTGCCACACTGAGCTAAGTTTAGGATGGTGAAGTTCAGGAACCAAGAGGGGAGTTGGAAGAATTGGCATCTTAGAGGTAATTGATCAATATTGATTGTGCAAATGAAGAGAAATCTGAAACTTAAATAAAGCTCTAGCTCCAGAAACAGCTGGGTGACTAGGACTTTGAAAGACTCTTGCCAAACCCTACAAGGCCCCAGGGTCTCTGTTAGGATAACTGCAATGGGCTGGAGGAAAAAAAGCCAACTTTGAAGCCAGAGAGGGAGAGGCGGTCAGAAGGTGGATAGGGGAAGGTCATATGCTCTAGTTATTCTAGAGGGTAATGGACACTCTTGGATATTTCTATCAAGGATTTCTGGTTGAGATTGCAACAGAGGCAATAGGCCTGAGGGATGTGTAATGATGCAAATGATATCATGAAAGTTTTCTTAGATTTTAACCCAATGATTGCCAAACATTGTTGCAATTACAATTGTTTAAGGAGATTTTAAAACTCTTGATGCTCTGGTTACATCCCATTCTAATTAAGTTAGAGCATCGTGGTACCTACCACACAACAACTGATTTTTACTGATCCCTGTGATTTGGATGTATAACAAAATTGGGGAACTTGGCTTTTTATCACCATGCTGTCCTAATGCACTATTTGCAGGCAGTGACTACAGCCAGACTATGTCTTTTTACAAAGAAGCAGGTTTCCATACTCTTTGCTAATGTCATCTGCCTACATTCATATTTTTAATTCTAAATATTCCACATATGGTTTGAGGTCTAGTCCTCCCTCTTCTCATGAAACATGAGTTTAGAGGTAAAGAAAACTTATGTTCCAGAAGCAGTTCTGCTATTTATATTATCTTTTTCCCCCCAAAGATTTATTTTATTTATGCATTCAAGAGCTGGGGTACAGGCCAGAGGTGTGGGGGGTTAGAGGATTCACCAGAGACAGAGTGGGGAACAGAATAGGCAGCGTGACTGAAGTACACTGCTGAGAGGAGCAGCAGGCAAGTCAAGAGAGGTCTGCTGCGCCATGTGGGTTGCTCTCTGGCTGGCTGGGGGATTGAACTCCTGCTGCAGAGGCTGCGGACAGCTTCAGAGGTTGCGTCTTAACCCCTTGCGCCACCAGAGAGGCCCTATTTATATTATCTTGAACAATGCATTAATTAAACATTCTTTTAAATGACTCCTATTTCTTTGTGCCTCTGTGTCTTTAAACATTACTTCAAGATAAAAAGATATCATATCCCCTGGTCTTCAGTGGATTTTAAATTTTATTGAGGCAATACTGCTTTACAACAATGTGTATGTTGCAGAGGTATAGGATCGCACCTCTTCAGATGTATGTTACCACGCCACACCAAGGCACTCATAGTCCTCTGCCCTAGTCAACTGGGCAT